ATTTTTGGATCATCTTACAAGTGAAAAAATTGCTTGAAGGAAAACAAACTGAAAAGGTTGCAAAAGCCTTTGAAAATGCTGAAATTGTGACCAGAAAAGGTTTGGACCAAGATCATGGTTTAGGTAGATCAAACGATACATGTTAGGGGTCTCATTACAAGTTGATTTTCAATGTGATTGATTTGTATTCTACAATACATGAGATGCTTGATTTGATTGGTAATAATGCTCAAAATGATGATGATGATGCTTGATAAGTCGATAATGTGAATTTTACAATAGAGTCATTTGATTTCATTTTCATGATTCACTTGATGAAGAGAATATTAGAGATTATGAATGAATTAAATAAAGCTTTATAGAGAAAAAATCAAGATACTGTGAATGCTATGTCTCTTGTCACTTTAATTAAAGAAAGATTATAAAAAATAAGAAAAGAATGAGTGGGAGTCTTTTTATTTATTACAACCACTTCATTTTGTAACAAGAATGAAATTGATATTCTTAATATGATGTTGTGTACACTTCTCTGGGAAGAAAGAAATGTTGTCGTTTGGATGCTACTAATATTCATCATTTTCAAGTTTAAGTATTCTTGGGAGTTATTGATCTTCAACTTCAATAGTTAAACAACCGATTTGACAAGGTTAGTATAGAATTATTGACTTGTATGGCTTCTTTGAGTCCACTTGATCAATTTTCTTCTTTTAGAAAACAAAAAAAAAATACTTAGACTTACTGAATTATATCTCGATGAATTTACAAGTGTTGATAAGCTATGTCTTGATGATCAACTTGATAATTATATTGTTGATATACGGAGGGATGATATATTTTGGGTATTGAAAGATATGGGTGAACTTTCCATGAAGCTAATCGAGATAAAGAAGCGTCAAGTATACCAACAAGTCTATTTGCTCATAAAGTTTGTGAAAATCTCCCCGTATCAACCGCAAGGTTGAAAGAGCATTTTCTAAAATGAACATTGTAAAGAATAGGTTGCAAAATAGCATAGGTGATAAACTTTTAAATGATTGTTTGATTTCTTGTATAGAAAAAGATTTTTTCTTCAAATTGATAATAAAAAAATAATGAAATAGTTTCAAGGAATGAAAGCTCATTGAAAACAATTGTAATTATTTTTTGTATTAGATTTTTTGAATGAATTGTTATTTTGAATTTTGGGTTATGTAACCTTTTTAATAATGAATTTTTGAGCCCTTATTTTTAAATTTTTAGATCCGTCATCGTGTCCATTGCTATTTTTCTGGCATTAACTATAACATAAAATATATACATCATTATGTAATATAAAACGCAAATGTGGAGGTTGGCTTACTAGATGGCTTGCGTGGTCTAATTCCCACGAGCCAGTTTCAACTCCTCCCTTTTTATTGTGTCTTTCTTTGTTATTTGATTTTCTCCCAATCATGTAGTGTGACACTTGTCATTATTTAGGATCAAATTGATATAATATAATATTAAAGGTTAAATTTGTAATTATATTAATTTTGTTAACGGCCACATCAGTATTTTCGTTCAATATTAACGGCAAGTGGCTTGATTGAAATCATTTAAATAAATAATTGGTCTAATTGATAAAATCGAAAGATCAATAATAAAAGTAAAATGGATAAATAATTAAGCGGTCAATGATATAATTTAACCAAAAGGTAAACAACGAGGTCAATTAAGAAACCATAGTTTTTCTTTCTGATCACAACAAAATCCCAGTTACTTACTAAAATCATTGGTTCTTTTTATCGTTGATCAGATCAAAAGAGACAGTGTGGACGTAATATTTTTTCAAGTCTAAACATCAATGTATTTGTGTTGTTTTAATAACATGATTGATTTGTTACTTAAATGTCTGAAAAATAATACATGCTTTGAATCCTTTCATGTTCATCTTTGCAGTCATGGACAATACTACTTACGTATCAACAGGAACAAATCCAATATTTTATGTTAAGGAGGTGAACCATTTAAATTTAAGATGAAACAAATTCACTTCATTCAAAATTTTGGATATGCAAAATTATTTTTTGATATCTTTCCTCTTAATATATTAAATTAAATTTAGTAATTTTCTCAAAATGATGAGTATACAATTTCTAGCTATGTACATCAGTCGCCACCGGTGGTCAAACAATGATACATGAGCACCCAAACATGTCAAATCAATTGTTTTGTGACAGGAATAGTGTAGCTTAACGACACAATGATCGTTTTTTTAACTTTTCGATAATTTTAATGATTATTTTGTTATTTTTAATACTTCGATAAAAAAAAAACTTACTCATTCTTAAGTGATCATTAATACATAACCTTAAAAATAAGGGGTAAAACCACTTATTGTTGTCCCTTTTTATTTTAACAATTCGTCTTTCAATTTTATCCATCATTAATATATAAAATATAATTTTTTAGCTTAATATAAAAATAAATTCTCAAACTATACCATAAGTTAATTTTTGGTGCCTAAAGAATACTTTTACTAAAAATAGGTGAATAAGGTTACCAAAGTTATCCTTTTAAGTGTATGGACTATAACGACCGTTAAAAAATCGTTATCTATCACGAGTCATACTTATATTTTTTTAAAATATTTTTAAAAAAAGATAAAATATTATTTTTTTTGACAATTAAAAAGAAATCAAATACCCTAAATCCCCAAGTTCATGCCTCTTGTCCTCAATCTCCCAACCGCATCTAGCGTTGTTAATCCACTCCATTCCCCCTATTTGTAACGACGGGATCACCCCCAACCACCTCGTATGAACCTTCACCCCATGTATGAACACCAACGAATTGATTTCTCAAATTGGTTGATTTTGAAATTTTACTTTTGGTATTTAGGGATTTAGGGTTTTGATTTAAGGATATGAGTATTAAGATATAAGAATTTCGGACGATGAGGCTTTGGTTGGCGGTGATGGACCGATCGACGATGGTGCATGGTCGACGAGGAAGGAGGGTTGAAATTAGAAATTTCATGGGTTTTATTTTGTAGTTTGGTAAAATTTTGAGTTTTTTTAATTATAATTATGATTTTTTAATTTAAATAAAAAGTTTAAAATTTTATAAATATGACGCATGTCATTTAACAGTCGAATTTAATGGTCGTTACAATGTAGGTATCTAAAATATTGCGTTATAAATGTTTTTAACGTAAAATTCTTTTAAAGACCTAAAGTTAATTTGGAGTATAATTTATACACATATTTTTACATTAAGCCTAAATTTTTATTATACTTGTTTCAATGATTTAGGTGTTTCCATATCCTCTATAGGTCTAGCTTTGACATCATTTGATCACTTTATTTTTTTTTCTCGTCATTAACATATATTAACGATATATACAATATTGTAAGTATTTTTCTAATATGTGATTTGCCTTGATGATTAAGGTACCCACTCTAAGTTAGAGCCTCATTTTTAATCATATCAATGACATTTTACTTCCTTTTTTTTATCTAAACTGATGCAAAATATATAAAAATATTATATAATTAAGACAAAATATGAGATTTATCTAATGATTGAGGCGTAATTATTATTCTCATTAACCATAGGTTTAATCTTTTCATGAGACATGTCACTAGTGAAATGTGTCACGATAATTTATTAACATATACTATCTCTTGATTGAAGGGTTATCTTTCAAATCATATTAAAATTAGAACTAAACAAATAGAATATATATGTAATAAGGATAAATTAATTATACTAATTTTGTTAACAATCATATCAGTATCTTTGTCAAATGTTAATGACCAACAACTTGATCGATAACAATTGAATAGTTTAATGGTCTACTTGATAAAACTAAGAAATTGATGGTCAAAATGAAAAGGGATAGTAATTAAGTGATCATAGATATAATTTATCCAAAATTAGTTTTGAAATTTTATTGTTTTGATATGAAATTATAACAGTCTCATGGAGGGTTAATTTTTTTAATTAAATTAAAATTAAGATTAAATTTATAAAATATGTAAGTAATGAGAATAAAATGTATAATTATATCAATTTTATTGATCAAGGTACCCACTCTAAGTTAGAACCCCATTTTTAATCCTATCAATGGCATTTTACTTCCTTTTTTTTTATCTAAACTGATGCTAAATATATAAAAATATTATATAATTAAGACAAAATATGAGATTTATCTTAATGATTGAGGCGTAATTATTATTCTCATTAACCATAGGTTTAATTTTTTTAATGAGACATGTCACTAGTGAAATGTGTCACAATAATTTATTAACATATACTATCTCTTGATTGAAGGGTTATTTTTCAAATCAGATTAAAATTAGAGCTAAACAAATAGAATATGTATGTAACAAGGATCAATTAATTATACTAATTTTGTTAACAGTCATATCAGTATCTTTGTCAAATATTAATGACCAACAACGTGATCGATAACAATTGAATAGTTTAATGGTCTACTTGATAAAACTAAGAAATAGATGGTCAAAATGAAAAGGGATTGTAATTAAGTGATTATAGATATAATTTATCCAAAATTAGTATTGAAATTTTATTTTATTTATATGAAATTATAATATTATCATGGAGGGTTAATTTTTGAATTAAATTAAAATTAAGATTAAATTTATAAAATATGTAAGTAATGAGGACAAAATGCATAATTATATCAATTTTATAAACTCTCACATCAATATCTTCATCAAATGTCAAATGTTGGTGACTCGATTGATAACAATTAAATAATGTGATAGCATGATTAATAAAATTAAAAAGTTAATGATTAAAATAAGAAAATACAATAATTAAGTGATCATAGAATAATTTATACAAATTAATACTGAAAATTTTATTGTTTTGGTATGGAACTATAGTACCCCGAGTGATGGATTGGTTCCTTTCTTACAATTAATTGTTTGAAAGATGAAAAAAAAATACAAATATATAATAGTTTAAATTGTAAATAATTAAATGTAAAACTTCTCAAGATCCGCCTACGCCGTTTTACATATCCCAACTTCTAACAAACCCAAAACAGCAAAGAAAAAAATTGAGAGCTTGAAGATCTAAATATTTTTTCCTCGTGTTCAAGGTAAAAGGGAACGACAATGGGGTGTTCATTCTCAGGTTTGAATGCATTGTACGACACAGTTAATGGTGGAGGGGACGTTTGGATCAACGACAACAGGTTCAAGATCGTAAGGCAACTCGGCGAAGGTGGGTTCGCCTATGTTTACCTGGTGAAGGAAGTCGTATCTGATTCCTCTTCAGCTTTGGCTAGTGGCTTAGCCAAAAAAGTTAAGGACCCTTCACATCTCTCTGGTTCGTTCTCCTTCAAAATCTTCTCCTTTTAATCTTTTCAAGGATTTTATAATTCTGATATTTCTATTTATTTTGTTATTGATCTGGGTGCTTCTTTAAGTTGTAATCAGCGATTGCTTTCACTTCTTATATTTAGTTTGAATCTTCTGTTCAGCTAAATGGTATCTTGTTTTTATTATCTTAATGTGACTGAATGTATGTGGTCTTAACATTCTGGTGATATTATATATGGCGATTTCTTTGATCGAAGTTTGGTGCTATTACATGGCTGTTTTATTGGAGATTCCAGTCTCTTGTCAATTGAAAATTGAATCCATATATGGTATTTCATGAACTTTTATAGTAAAATTTGGGGGTTATTTTGTTTTTGGATTATTCATTAGATTAGTCTATGGATCTGAAGTTGTCATTTTTTTATATGGATTATAATTCTTGTTTGGTGAAAAAAAAAAAGTGGAATTTTCTATGATTATCCCATCCCCACTGGAGTTATAGAACTAAAATTATCGATCAGTTGAAGCTTTGATCAGCTCCGTTGTAAGAACCAAGGCTTTTGGTTTAGAAGTTTTTACTTAGTAGTTAATATGGATTAGGGGATTATCTTATATCTCACGTATGATAGTTTGACTTCTTGCCAGTCAGATTTCACATTTATGCATTTTGCTTTTGTTTTCTGAATTTACATCTTAAATGGACCTGATATTGTTTCTTGATTTGGGAACTATGCTGTTTGCAGGATTTTGCTTTATTTTAAAATTATGTATTCTTTGTAGGCTCAATATAAAGTTAAATTGGTTTTGGAACAAACATAAGTTGGGTTGCATTTGCAGATGCTGGAACTTATGCAATGAAGAAAGTTCTCATTCAGAATAATGAGCAGTTGGATTTGGTTCGAGAGGAGATCCGTGTTTCATACTTGTTTAGCCACCCTAATCTGCTTCCGCTTCTTGATCATGCTATTATTTCTGTTAAGGTAATTATGCAGATCCCTTATTTTATTTTATATTAAAAGCTGTTACATGCATCTTAAATGTTTCTGAAATTTGTTCTCATTTACCCATAAGATTGGTGTAAAACTGGCAATGGAAACTACTTTTCGAGATTCTTATGTGTTCCCTTTATGGTTTTTCTTTCAAATTACTTTGCATGTAATTGTATTGTGTAAAATATTTTGATTTCATTTTGCTAGCCTACACAAGAAGGATCATGGAATCGTGAAGCATATTTACTATTTCCTGTTCATTTGGATGGAACGTTATTGGACAATTCCACAGCTATGATTGCTAGAAAGGAATTTTTTTCTGCCTCAGATGTTCTTCAAATATTTCGGCAGGTGAGTAAACTATTCTTATGTTTTTTAACTATTTGATGCCATTCCTTTTGAAATGCATTTTTAAGGGCCTGAAATAGCATTCTCAGTAATATGATACTGATTTTTTTTTTTTGATAGGAATTGAAGTCCTCATTAAAAACCCCCTTCTTGATTATGGAACTCTGATGAGTTCCTTCATCAGAGGAAGGAGGAAAAGAGTGCCTTATACTTCATTAATGATAATACATAAGATTACAACATGAAGATAAGTCCCTTACAAAAACTCCGAATAACCCAAAATAAAATACCCCTAACACACACTGAAATTAGCCAATGGCAGATTTAGCCAACCCATCAACCTGTATATTGGTTGTCCGAGCGACCCATCTAATAACACCCTCAACTTCTTTAAGCTTGACAGCTATATCCCTGACAATAAAGACAAATAACTGAGGACACAAAGTTCCATTCTTAACCCAATCCACTGCCAATTTACAGTCTGATTCTAATATCAACCGACCATTAATATCTCCTCTCACTGAATTAAAGAAAAGTAAGCCCTTCTGAATAGCCTTTAACTCCATCAAAATAGGTGGACTCGGACCAGTGGCCTCCTTAAAAGATCCTAGAAGAAGACCTTCCTCATCTCTTAGAATACCCGCAACTCCACTGCTCTTCCAATCACAACTTGTCGCTGCATCCACATTCAATTTGACAAATCCCTTAGGAGGGGGAACCAAGGAATTGTAGTAACAATCGATTTGTTGAGTGGGAAGCATGAATCCCCAAGGGAAGGGTCACCGATTAGAGAATCCATAGAAATAACAGAATCTGCAAACTTAGCTAAGAACCAAGATGCAAGCCGTACTCTTGCTAAGAAAAACAGGTTAGGTTGGTCAATCTTCCCTCTATCGAATACAATATCATTTCTAGCTTTCCAAACAGTCCAAATAACAACGGCAGGAATAAACTTCCAAATAGCATACCTAGGATTTAGATCTTCCCAAGCTTGGAGGAACTTCTGTGCATTTTCTTGAAAAACCACATTAAGACTCCAATACTGCACAAATTTGTTCCAAAGTGACCACATGACAGAACAAGAGAAAAATAAATGAGAAGAAGATTCATCCACCAAATTACATAAAGGACAAGAAAGGTCTGCAATTCCCATAACCCCTCTCTTAACCAGTTCAGACCTCACTGGCAGTTTTTGAAGAACTACCTGCCACTTAAATAACTCAACTCTTGGTGGCACCAAACCCTTTCACACAATTTTCTTCCAAAAAGAATCCTCCTTCGGAGACAAGGAACAAGTCTTCACACATGAATTTACAGAATAAACACCAGTTCCGTCTCCTTTCCAGGTCAGACCATCGATTGCCTCCTTAGACAGACAGAAATTAGAAATGATAGTCATCAAGTTAGCCCACTGTTCAAATTCCCAGTCTGCCAAACTTCTCCTCAACTGAATATTCCAAATCCATCCCAAAGAACTGAACTCGCCAAATTCAATCAGTTTTCCACTCTGGTTTGTAGAAACTGCGAACAGCCTGGGAAAAGAGACCTTAAGAGGGCAGTCCATTGCCCATTTGTCCTGCCAAAACCGAATAAACTGACCATTCCCAACTTGAACTCTGCACATGCTGCGAAAATTAGAGCCAAATGAGTCTTCTTTAAAATAAGAATTCACCACTGAACTCCAAATCCAAGAAGCTTGAGCTGGTATTTTGCTATTGAACAATAATGAAAAAGGATCAATATTGTATTTAGAACATATCAGCCTCCTCCAAACAGCATCCTTATCATTAGCAAATCTCCAAGACCACTTCCCCAGTAGTGCTCTGTTCATATTACTAATATTTAGCACTCCTAAACCACCAGCCTCCTTAGATTTACACACGTTATGCCAACTAACCCAATGAATCTTATTTTTCTCCGTTCCACCTCCCCATAAGAACTTAGACATGATTGAGTTGAGTTTGGAAATTACGGACGAGGGAATTTTGAAAAGAGACAAATAGTAAGTAGGAAGTAATATGATACTGATTAGCAGTGGATTTGATGCATTTATTTATACTTAAACATCTGGCTTCTGTGTTCCAGTGTTTGCACTTTTTGTGTACTAGAATTTCTTTTAATAGTGTTTTCTATTTTTCTGATTTCACTGATGTCACAACTTAGAAGAAGTGGCTAGAAGCATTTTGACTGGACCAAATTGTTTCTACAGCTGTGTGCAGGACTCAAACATATGCACAATTTTGAGCCTCCATATGCACATAATGATGTCAAGCCTGGTAATATTCTTTTATCCCATAGAAAAGGGAAATGGCCTCTTGCTATATTGATGGATTTTGGGAGTTCTCGTCCTGCCAGGAAGCAAATTCGCTCCCGTTCAGAGGCACTACAGCTTCAGGTGTTTGTTTCTTCTTATATTTCTGTGCTTACAACTTCTTTCTTGTCTTTTCTTGAAAATAACCCAAGGTCTTCCAGTTCCTTAAATCTGTATGCTTGATATTCTACTTCTACCAAAAAAGCCGAGTTCTTTTTAAACACATAAAAATTATGTATAAATACATTATTGACTTATTTAAATGATGCATTTACCTTTTCATATAATTAAAATATGTGAAAAATATTTTTTTCTTTCTAATAATTCATATGTAGGAATGGGCATCTGAGCACTGTTCAGCACCTTTCCGAGCCCCTGAATTGTGGGATTGCCCCAGTGATGCAGATATTGATGAGAGAACTGATATTTGGTCGTTGGGATGCACTTTATATGCAATAATGTAAGAATTAATGCTTATACATGCACAAATACAGTCTCAGTTATCGTATGGTTAGCCTTTTTTGTTGTTGCACTCTCATTTCATTATTGTTCATGTTCTTTGACAAACAATATGATAAACAAAGTATTTGGTATAGCTGACTATTTTTATTTGTTTCCTTCTGTCTTAAACCAAGGCGTAAATTTTAAGTACTTGATGTGAAAGTTCTATAATGCAGAAAACAGTGTGTATTCTTTTTTTTTTATGAAATTTTCTGTTGGTGTTGATATGAAGAGTGATGATTCTATGTTACCTGATTGATTGAGATTCGGCATTTGACAATTTGGTGAATTTATATGCTAATCATTATTTGCCAAATTGATGACATGTACTTTATGCTGAGCAATGCTAATAAATTGACATTATTGTACAAAGTAGTATTACGGAGAGGGTTGGTCTACTAAGTTGTTTTTTATGATTCTTGTTATAAAACCCTCTTTTTTTGGAGTTTCATATCCTTCCCGAAATTCCTCGAATGAATGGACTCTTATTGAAGTTTCATCGTGTCCAGTTTACACTGTTCTGTTGATACCTTCATTTATGCTTTTGTTGTCCGCGGTAAACCATTTCAGTTTACGTAATTAGCAGCTTTAATTTAGCTAATTAAGTTATTAATTTTCATTTATTCTAGGTATGGTGTATCCCCTTTTGAGTATGCACTTGGAGAATCTGGAGGAAGCCTGCAGTTGGCTATTGTAAATGCACAGATTAAGTGGCCAGCAGGACCTAAACAACCATATCCAGAAGATCTTCGCCAATTTGTTACTTGGATGCTTCAGCCTCAAGTTACTCTTCGCCCTCACATAGACGATATTTTAATTCATGTCGACAAGTTGGTCTCAAAGTTTTCCCTGTGAGGTTACAAGGAAAGGGCATCCAGTCAGTGATGTAAGCATCCAGTCAGTTGACAAAATGAGCAGATCCAGCAATTTGCGTCATAAGTGAAAGCATCTATGTAAGCATTTGGACTTCCTTATTAAAACTTAGATAGATAATCCTTTTCGGTGAAGGTGTGCATTAATTTGTTTTCCACAATTATTTAACTTCATGATCAGTAATTTGTTGGATCCCAGATTCAAATTTTATAGGAAAGCCTCAATAATTTCTGTTATCCATTCAGTGCATATTCTAGGTATCTCAGTTTCTTTTATTTGCAGACCTATGTTAATAAACCATGCCTGTTTCAAGGTTTTCTAATCAGTTATTTTGTTCTGCAAAATGTTTTAAGTATTTAGAAACGTGAACCTATGTTGCTCGAACTTTTCGTTTTTCTTTAAGCACTCGACACATATTCGGACACTAGTATTTAATACAATCTGAAAATTTTACAAGATTAATATGCCCATGTTGGACACATCCAAGGATGGAGTTATTGATAATTTATTTTTGGCCTCTTAGAACTTTATACTTCAACTCCCCTAATATAAATTTCTTCTGCGTGTCATTGAAAACATCCAAATCTGAGTAATATCGATTTGAAATAGTTCACTGTGCTTTTTGTCAACCATCTCACTACTTTGGAAACAAAAACGTTGTCGGATTTCTATTGGTTGGAAGGAATAATTTAGAATTAAGCAGAGGAAGATTTTCATAGTTATGAGAAAACGAGTAGCTGCTTGTGGTCCATTCTCTTTATTACTATATCATGGTTTTATGATCGATACTGGGAACAAGTCAATATCAAAAACAATTCAGACAAAGCTTCATCCTAACTTATGGCAGCTAAAGGGCTATCTTTATATCAACTTAGATTTTAATCCAGATTCAAGTTTGTTTCAAGGTAGTAATCTCATGAAAATGATTTCAAAACCCTTGCTTTTATCAGAAAAATAAAATCTCAAAATAATAACAAAGAAAGAAGATTATGGATAATGAAATTTAGGATCAGAATCATTTCAAACTTTGGGTAAGTTAATTTTAATGAGCAGCTTAATGCAAATTTGATGTTTGTGTCATGAGGAGAAAGATTATGGGAAAGAAGAAAAGGTGTGAGCCCCAGAGAAGAGACTCATTCATTCAATGCCACCTAAAACAAAAAGATGGTAGCCACAAGATCCATTTGTTTGAACCGCTCAATATTCATCACACTTTTCACTTTTTGGATTCTTAACTCCCTTTTCTCCTTTCTCACTTGCAGTATCAAACTCCACCTTCCCTAACTTCACTCTTCATGGATGCTGTTTTCAACCCTTTATTTTTTGCATGTACAAAGCGCATATTTGAACATCATTTACTGTTAAAATCCATCACTAGATATGCTAATTATCCCCCCAGGTCTTGGTTCAAACACGTCGTCTGTATAAATGTTCATCATCAAATGGTTAAGATCCTTTCGAATAGATATTACCATATAATCACCTCACTAATTAAAGAAAATAGTATCAAGTACTGAAATTTTATAACTAAAATCACTTCTTCCCATGAACATAGTTGAGTGAGTGTGAATCTTTTGGCTTTGAAATCACGTGCAACTTTAATGGAAAAAGTGCAAACTTGTGGCTAAAATCCATAGAAAGTTCATTAAGCTTCTTTTTTTTATTTTTTTTATTTTTTTTTATTAACAATCTGTTTCTTCCCAATACACATTGTTTAAATCATTTGAATCTTCATCACTTGAAATACTATAAATATTTGATATACATTCACTGGTTGAAAATCACTCAAGATTTTCCCTCTTTCCATAACTATTAACTTGTTTTCTTTTCAGTCTCAGGATATTTCAAACGTTGCAAAATTCACCCTTTTCCTCGCATGTTTCAACCCGACATGACACAAGCATGTTGAAAGAGAATTCTGGTGGAGATGGTTACCTTAACAATTGGATTCATTCTTGCGATTCATGCCAAGCAGCTGCCTGCACACTGATTCGGCTTACCTCTGTGATGACTGCGATAAGCATATCCATGTCGGCAATCCTTCGGCCTTGTCGCACCACCGTGTGTGGATTTGCGCAGCCTGCGAGACAGCTCCAACTGCTTTCACCTGCAGTGTCGACGTAGCATCTCTTTGCATCGGTTGTGACATCCATACACTCAGTGAACCCTTTGGCTTGCCGCCATACTAGGGTCCCTATACCTCCACTGCCGGCTCTAACATGTTCTTCCTCAAGTGTTCAACATGATCAGCTGCCATGCACGATGTTCAAAGCCCCTACTACTGAACCAAGTCAAGAAATCGACGAAGATGAAACGGATTCTTGGTTACTGCTTGAGCCTGAGAACAATGATAACCAGACCATGAGTGGATTCACTTATGGTGAACAACATGAGGGGTATGCCACTTCTTCGATAGCACTTCTTTCATAAATTTGATGTAGTTCGAGTTTTACTCTAACGCCTCGATCAACGGAATGTTGGTAAGTTGGCGAAGTACATCAATGAAGGTTTTGTATTGATGTTCCTCCTTTGTCTTTTTAAAGCGCTGTGGAAAAGGTGGAGGCAATTTCTATTGTTGTGGTTGTAGTATTGAAATTGGCGGAGCATCAAACTTAGCAGGCGTCACAAATCAAGTAATAAAAGTGGTAACGGTTAAGTTACGAGTATCGATCCCACATAGAGCAAACGGTTTTCAATAGAGTTTAAAAACAGAGAAATGTTGATTGATTACTTTACGGCGAGAAAATAAAATAAAATGAAAAACTCCAGTTCATTCTACAACATTACAAAGAGCAACAAGTCAGCTATCAAACGGAAATTGGAAGTATTAAGGGATTCAAGTTTCAAACAAACAAATAATATGACTTCTATGCTATTAGCAATGATTAAAACATGTTGAATTACTTTAATCACTTTCATAAATCAAAGATCTAACATTTTTACAAGGCTAATACTAGGCTGCCTACTTTTTAGTATGCACAATGCTACTCAGCATCCACCAGGCTATCAAAAGTATATGGTAGTTAAACAAATCTATTTATAGAAACATTTAAAATAATCATTCATTGATTACAAATATTTCTACTCATAATTTAATCATCCAAGCTCATAGAAACATAATCATAGTAGCATAAAACCATAAATCCAAAATATCATCCAATGCAAATTTAAATATATTCAAACACTCCATTTTCACGATGAAATGCTCGAACAGTGATTTGCTGACAGCTTATGCAACTCGGTGAGCTCCCTTTATGCTGCAGTAATCCCTGGTAGAGGGCTTAAGCTTCCATCGGGTGAAGGAAACGGTGACATAAGTACTTGTATATTTTTCTCTCAAAATTTGGTGTGTATGTGGTGTGTGTTCCTCAAATGAGTAGGTAATTGCCTATTTATAAGTGAATATGAAATTTGATCCTCCAATGGTTTACTGCCACGTTTTGGATAGGATCTAGCCTTTGACAATTGCCCAGGACAGTTGTCCCATTCTAGAGAATTTCATATCTCAGTTGAGTCATCGGATGATCCACAACATTGGGATGCTCCATAGCATTGGATTGCCACATCATCATCATCAGCTTCAATCGGATGCTACACAGTATTTCCTGAACTGCTACAGTATCAGTGCACATTTTCAGCATTAAAATTAATTTTTATCTCTAAGCAACCTACAAAAGATAAACATGAATAATCATAAGAACTAATTAAAACTAATCCTAAAATGCTCCTAAAAATGCTTAAGATCAAACTAAACTTAGGCTAAAAGTGTTCCTAAAGATAACTCTTTTGGAGAGTTATCAGTCGACTATAACATATGTTTCTTAACTCCCTTAGTCCAATTCCATCGAAACTTGTTCTCGATTCAAACTTTAGGTCTTACCGCCTTTCTTAATTTATATTTCATTAACATTAATGTTCTCATTTTTGCTTTGATTTTGCTAGGAGATTCATCTCGACACAAAATCATTAGTATCATGATCTAAATGTAATCATATTCATAAAGTTAGGGCTCATAATATGGCTCATTACTTTAACGGAATACCTCTAATTAGAGGATTCAAATGTCAAAAAGATTTTGACTTGACAACTTGAACATAACTCACTTCATAAAGATTGGACTTACCTCCATATTTGTTTCAGACATTACCTCCAAAGATTATCAGCTTACTAATTTCAACGGAGTGCCCTCAGCAATATTAAAATTAGCTTGCATTAATATCACATTATTTTCCTGATTTTTTTCATTTTAAGATTTCTTAAGCTCATCAAGAATAACCTTTTATAGTCTGAGTGTCATTAAAGGTAAGGAAATTTTATCTTTAAAGTTTAATTTCCAAGTATCTGACCTAAGCTAAATTCATCCATTCCACCATCCTATCTCTATAGATTAAGAATCGTCATTGAATATTATAAATAGAACTACAGTCTAAATGGTCTAGCAATCTCGTGTACAACAAATGCCTAATCTCACTTGTTTGCGGGAAGTCTTGTACTTCACTTGTAACTTGTATCGGAAGAATACCTCTTTTGCTCCTGAGAAGGCTAGGATGTGATTTTGTAATCATCTTTCGAGCAAGTGTAATCAAGTGGTTTTGTTTTTGGCATAGAATCAAGGGATCTTGTCTTGGGTAAAAGATCAAAGGATCTATTTTTAGGGAGTGCAATCTTGTTACTTGTCAAAGGTCTATAACCTCAATTCTTAAAAGAGCCTTTAATTCAGTTGAAACTTAAAGAACTTAAAGATTAAAATTTTGTTCATTTCTTATAACCTTAGAAGGAGGCATTTTATAAAATATGTTTGAACGTCATGCAACTTACAAACTTATTAGAAAGACACTTTCAAACAAGATTGCAACGAAACTTCAAGGCGAATGAATATCGGCATCTTCTGGATCTGTCCCATTATTCATTAAATGCTCATACATTTAGTTCGATAAAATTTTAGTCCTTGTGTTTTCATGATCTTGAGTGGCCCCTAGGGACCATTGTAGTGGCGTTATCATCATAATCTCTAGGATAAGGAAGATCATGAATTGTGTGATTAAAATCACTAGACAAAATTCTTCCATGAATTATTTCAATTTTTTCATGATCAATGTATGAAAAGATGCTTAAACGTCATTGCAAGTGCAAATGTAAATGCAAATGTAGAATGCAAATATGCAAAATGTTATGTAAATGCAAGATGCAAAGATGAAAATGCAAGAAAAGACATTAATTCAAATAATATCCCATTATAGAACAACTTTCGTTCAAAAGAAGAATCTCAAATATAGTAAATAGTTCGATTACAAATACGATCTAGCCCTTTTATTTAAATATGAAATCTTAGTTCAAGACATGATAAGTATGGGCTTGAATGGCTTCAGCTCATTCTGCTAGCATTCTTATGTATCGTGCGAGGTCTCACTCTCTTCATGAATGAATTTTGAGTTTATCGGCCATCATTGAGCTTACCTTTGTAGGAGGGACTCCTTTGAATCAATCTGATTGCTACTGTAATATGTCCTGTTTGATAAATTTGACACGAAATCTAGTGGCGGATTATCTTCATGCTCATGTTGTGTTGCTTTTGACCAAGTACACACCTTTGAATATGCAGCTATATGCTTTTAGAAATCTTGATTTATTTGTGAAAACTTTCTAATATGATGGAATACCTACGGATCAACACCTCCTATAGTATGCTAATATGATGCAGCATGGTAATAAATCAAAGAAAACAGAAAAAGGAAAATAAGTTAGTAAAATAATAAATAAAAAATAAAGACGGTAAATCCGACCCCACAAGTTTTTCTACCCTTATCGTGGTAAAGATAAGATCATATCCACACATGATTTCTACTCTCATGCTTTATTCAGAAAGAAAATAAATCCAAACTGCATGATTTCTAGTTCGCATACCTTTTGCTTGTAAAAATAAAAGAAGGGAAGAGGTTGATTTCTCCTTTGTGTACACTTATTAGGGAATTCCTATGGTTTTGACATGGTTTCGATCCGAGTAGAATTCTATGTTTCATTATATGCATAGTTTCGGCTCTAGGACAAAAGGTACTTAAATTATCCTTGTCGATGCCCTCTTGGGCTTGCTAAACCCTGATCCTAAACACACATCACATGTTTATATGGATCAAGTTAAATCTGAGAGGATGTGTCTCCCTATGCCTAACACGGAGAAACATATCCCACGAAGGCATAAGGTGTGGCCGAAAGCTACTTGCTAGGCCTAACACGAGAAAAAATTTCCTACGAAGGCATCACTTTCACCCTACTTAAAAGGAACAACCCGAGTATAGGGTTTATGTCATGCAAATGTAGTGTGTGAGAATAAATCTACTAACATTTACCAAACACTAACATACAATTCTTGAAAAAAATCAATCTACTCAACATAATAATATGAAAGTTCATGAATACACACATCGGTACGAACAATCACAAGTATGCACATGTTATTAGGGATTAAAGATGAATGCAAACAAACAAGCACAACTAAGGGATCAAAAATTAAATTAAGTTGAATCCATAATTTCCATTACAAAGACAATAATTAATCAACAAATGGCCTGACTCTCTAAAAGTAATCAGCAGAGTCATCAAGATATCATAATGTCTCGAAAAATAAGAAATTAATATTAGGGTTCATTTAGACTAAAATTGAGTTTTCCTTTTAAAATAAAAAATGTGATTTGAGGGAGTTGCCACCAATCTTTGTTTAGGGTGTGATTGGATCACCCAAAAATGTTTTTCATTTTAATAAAATTTTAATTTTAAAAATTATTAAAACAACTTTTAGTTATACGTTCTAGAAAAACAAGTTCAGGAGTCGATTACGTGTGGGGAAAGATTGGCACCCCCACGACGCTTTAAAATCGGTATCTAGTCTATTAATTATTGTCTTTGCAATTGAAGTTACGAATTCAAATTTTAATTTAATTAATGATCCCTTTTTAGTTAAACAAATACAATGTTATTTAACCAATTAATAGTTTAGAGAGAAAAATAACAATTCGTGCATTGAAATGGATAAAGTTAACCACCTAATATAAGGTAGAGTAGCATACCTCTCATTTCCAACTAAAGCAGTGAATCATTAATTTTCTTCTAAAAAATTTTAAATTCAAATTGTTAACATTGAAATGTTTCAAACCAAAGGGAAACATCCCCTAATATAAGGTAGAGTGACAATTTTCCCTTATTTGGAAAGAAATAAGAAATACTATAAACATTGCATTTATTTATCTAAGGTCGTACAATAAACAAAAGTTTTATTAATGAAAATTATCAGGCCTTTAAGATAAATAGAGGATGTTTGGATATTTATAAGTACAGAAACTAAACCTCTGAATAGAGTCGAGAGGCTTGTTTTAGAAATCTAAATATGGGAACATTTCTCTTTCTACTCTTCTGATCAAATTTAAAAGTTATATTATTTTTAAATGGTTCCACTGGAGTGTACTTGTTCGTTTTAAATTATCAAATTGAACTACCCAGGTGGATTAAGATAACTTTCTTCGATAATTTAAAATAAATTAGCATTGCCTTTTAATTCATTATTGAAAACATTGAGTGATGTGAATGAGGCTATTATGCTTATAAGAATAAATAAAGATGTCATGCAATCAATCAATAAACTTCAATGCAAATTATTTACAAATTTAAAGAATCAATTTAATTAGCATGCTAAGATTATAATGCAAATAATTAAAAAATACATGCGTGAAATAAAAGAGACTGAACAATTTAAAGTAAAGAGTGAATAAATTGTATTAAAAATAAAGTTTGAGGGGAAATTAAAGAGTAGATTAAAATTACTTACCTTCAAGAATCTCTTATTGTAAAATAAAATGAATTAGGATTATGATAAAAAAAAAGTAAAATAAAGAAATTAATTAAGTATAATCTTAAAAATAAAAAATAGGGTTAAGGGTATCACAATAAAAGAAAACAATATAAAATATATAATTTAAAATATACACAAAAAGATAAATTAAGTTAACATCAAAATTAAATAAAAAAATGAATATACAAAATTTAAAAACGTATAAAACTAATATGGAGAAGAATGATAAATACAAATATATTAAAAGAAGTAAAAATAATAATTTAAAATAAAAAAGGAAAGATTTAAAATGTTGAATTAACAAAAAAAAAAGTAAATCAAATTAGTACTTCAACTAATAAATCTATCATAACAAATAAATTAGAAAAAATAAGGAAAGAAAATTAATGAGATAAAATCTAAAAAAAACAAATGTGGAAACAAAGAAAATAAAGATGAGAATGTCATTTTAAAAATGTAAACTTTAAAAAACAAAAAGGTTAAGATAAAAAAAGTTGAATTTTTAAATTTTAATTCAAAAGAAAAAGACTAAAACAAATAAATAAAATGAATGGATTAGGAAAAGAATTATATCTTACCAGAAAAAATATGTGGATTCTATAAGGATCCGAGACTGGTCATTGGGTCATTTAATTAGATAGTAAATCTATTTTTTATAAAAAAAAATGTTTTTCATTCAAGATTGATTGTCAGTTTTCATCGAAAAACTCAAGGAAAGGTAAATCTACAAAGATTTAGTTAAAAACTCTTGTCCTCATTCATCGTTTTGTTATCATCCGATAAGATTTTGAAACAAAAAACAAGATCATGATTAATCGAAACAATAACAATATAAGTAAGAAGAAAAATAAAAGAGAAAAAAAATCGGTTTTTACTTAGAAATTTCAAGGAAGGCTAGATTTAAAAACTATTCAATATTATTTTCCTTATTCTTCAATTTTCTTTCCTTAAATAGAGTTCTTGAAAAAAAAGTTGAAATCGATTGATAAAATAAGAACAAAAGAAAAATAAGAAAAAAATATAAAAGAATCACATTTAGAAAAAAAAAGTTATCTTTTATTGTCGGTAATCTAAATTTGCAATGTTTCGGTAGCTCCTCTTTTCTTTCAAAAATAATGTGTGTTATTTACATAAGATGAGTGTATTTATAGACTCTCAAAATCCTAAAAGAGAAAGCCTCATCATGTTTTCATTAATGCTAGATGCATTAATTAAAAGTAAAATATCTTAAATTACCTTAAATATATTGTGAAAAGTATAAAGTTGAAATTAATTACAAATATTTAATAAAAATATTCATAATAAATTAAAATTTCTAAATTGGACTCATATCCAATTTTCTAGGCCCATTGTCTTCATTAAAATAAGCATATATTAAGTTCATGATGTCTGATTGAGGCGTTTCAAAATGCGTTGGAAAGCTAATTGGAAGACGGTTATATCTCAAGAAGACATCATGCCCTGAAAATGTTCGGATCTTTCTTGAAAATTTGTTGCAATTGACTGATGTCCTGGACTTCAAAATTAATTTCAATAAAATGTTTGGGTTTGGTGAAAAAAATACGCAAGATGAAAATAGGGTATTACAATATATGCATACGTAGTACTCAACTCCAAGACTTCAAAAGATAACAATAAATTTATTATTCATTGAATGTTTGGTTCGTGCCGAGAATAATTTTGAATAAAGAATAGATAGATATATTCTAGGCCATTGATGGAATAATTTCATAAAATTTGCCTACACACGGCATAAGGGTTTCAGGAATTAGTTGGTTAAGGCATAGGGCGTAAGGTGGTTAAAAAACAGTTGGTTATTTTCCTAGTGTAGATGAAAAAGATAGAAATATGGCCTATCCTTAAAACTTGCCTCTCAATCCGTATCCATTTTATCTCTTTCTTTTTCATCCAAACATTCTCCTCCTCTTCCTCTCCCTCTTCCTCTTCCTCTTCCTCTTCCATCTGTCTGTCTGAAACTTTGATTTCTCTTGTTTTCCAGGTGTCTTTTCTTCCTTGTTTGTTTTGCTTGTTTCGAATAATCAAAGACAGATTACATGTTTAGTAGATGGATCAGAAGTTCTTTCATTGAAGGTTGCTCTTCTTTTCATTTTCATGCAAAATTCTATTTGATTAGCTAATTGCTATATATCATGATCTGTTTTCTTAATATAAACATTCATGGCGTGCAATTTCTTTCAAGCTTTTCTTTTTGAACACCTATTGACGGACAATGACTTGGATTTCTTTCTATCGCATGAAAAATAAAAGTAAAAATCTGGAATTGAATCTTTCCAGGCATTCGTCGAATTCGGATGAGTATTGGATATTAGACTGTAAATACTAGGGAAAACTACACATTTAGTACCCAACTATCACTTTTGTATTATTAACGCTAAATAATATCATTGAAGGATGTTTAGATGTTGGATAGGAATTCTTTGAACTAACATATGGAAAAAAGCATTTTAGAAAAGGGAAGTCTAATTTTGTTTATGATACAGCATGGGTTCATGGGGCATGAGATGGTATAGAAAGAGAGAGTCATGGAATCGAGCCAAAGTGTTAGTGAAGATAATTGTCAAGCGACAGAAAGTAGGATCCCGACTCACGTGTTTGCTCCGACGAGCGGCGCATCACAGGCGGAATGGAGTACGGCTTCGAACGAGTCGTTGTTCAGCATTCACATGAGTTTCAACGAGAAGCCGAGTTTGATATCGAAATCAGAGGAGATGGATCCCACCACAATTTCCAGTCCGCTGTTTGAATTCTCGGTGAGTTCAGCCACCCCGAGAACACCTAAAGATGAATCCCACCAAAACAACCATCCAAATCTTGGGCGTACCATGTCTCAACTCTCGGATACAAGTGTCAAATCTTTCGCCTTCCCCATGTAAGATGAACTATTCTCACTTCTCCATCAATTATATGCTTCATTCTCTCGTCTTTTGTTTCTTTAGTTTAATTTAGCATAACCCCATCCCCCATTTTCTTATAAAATAATTAGTTTATCTATATAATTAATAATATAAGTGAAGTACACAAATGATCCTCCAATTATAGGGCTTTGCTTAAATGAAAAAAGACGGGTTTTGAAACATGAATAATTGAGTGATAATTTCGCAAATTTTAATAGTTGAGGGATTCAACAAATTAGTGTCTTATAATCGGGAGACCATCGGTGTACTTTACCCTAATAATATTAACTATTTTATTTAAAACGTTGGGTTGAAAATTCAATGAATTGTTATATTTTTGAGTTAATTATACCCAAACATCCTCAATTTATTACCTTCATTATAAATTGGTCCTAAACTTTTGAACATTCGAAATCCATCCCCAAAATATGACTCACATTTTAAATTGATTCCTGACCTTTTGAACATTCCAAATTCATCCTTACATTATGACTCTCATTCTAAACTTTTGAACATTCCAGTAATATTCCCCTAAACCATTCAAAAGTTTGGGGATAAAATTAGAGCATTCAAAAGTTTGGGGACCAATACAGAATGATTGTCGTAGTTTGGAGATGAATTTGGAATTCTCAAAAGTTTAGGGACCAATTTAAAATGAGGGTCATAATTTGAGGATGAAATTAAAATATTCAAAGGTTTAAAGACCAGCTTGGAATAAGAATGGTAGCTTAGGGATGTGTGATCTTATTTTGTACATTAATTTTCAATACATTAATCATTTCTCTTACGTATCAAATAATGAATTGATTTATTCTTGTAATGGAGATTGACGGCAGAAAGAGATAAAAACAATACAGGCAAAAAGGGAACGAAGTCGAGGACAACTCCACCGGAGACACCGGAGGCACAGCAGTCATCGACCCCTAAAGCAAACCAAGATGTAGATCAAGGAAGATGCTCTTGCTTTTCTTGTTTCCCCTCTTCTTAATTAGCCAATTCCACCCAAATTAATACTAAAGCACTAGCTTCATGTTGGTATCCATTTTAGAGTTCAGGCGTTTTTCTTTCAAAAGATTTTTCATTGTTTTCATAGTTGTTTCTCATAATTACTCTCTTTCTCATTGTTGTTTGAGGGTTTCGAGACTTTAGTGACTTTTTTTGTTTTCAGTTCGATAAGAATCGATTTTCTTTTCTCTTTTACCTCTTATTTTATCAACTGTTTTTATATTTATTTAATTGTTTGCTTATTATTTTTTTCAGGGAAAATTAATAATTCGTATAATTATGTCATTTTGTCGTTAACATGACAACTACGCATGTGACTTTGATAATATAATTATATCCTCAAAACGATATCGTTTTAATGCAACTATTTTAATACTTAAAAAAACTTAGAAATGACATCATTTTATTTGGATTTGGTATGATTAGAATTACAAACCTTTGTAAACAAAGGCTAGAGCTCAACCACTCAATAAACTTAAGACTTTTGTTATATTTATACAAATATAATATACGTATCTTACGATTCAAATTATTTATAATTTATGTTTTAAAAATAAAATAATATTTCTATTATATATATTATTTTATAATAGAAATATTATATGTATAACATTTCTATATAATAAATAATATAAATATATAATATTATAAATAATATTAATATATATAATATATTTTTATATATAATTTATAATAAAAACAAATGTTTAAAAAAATTGAAATGTCCGAACTCCTCTAAACCCAAAGCCCTAAATATCTAATCTCTAATGAGGCCCATTAAAGTTTTCAAAAAAAAATCACCCATTGTCATTGCCGAATCAACGACCATTGTCTACCACTTTCGCCGTCGAACCCTTACCACAAATTATTCCATTCTCTCATCGCTGGAAATCGAAGAACAATGTGCTAATCAATCGTCAAACACCGAATATGAAATATTCTAGTCAAACCATGAACGACGACTGATTGAGGGGTGAATGATGAATGATGTACACAACAAGAGGAGGAGACTTCAATGTGGTGCCAACGACGTGCCATCAATGATGATGGTGGGTGAATTTAGAGATTATAGTTTATGATTTAGCGTAGGTTTTTTTTTTTGGAATGTTGGGAATTCCATGATTTAAAAAAAATATTATTTATATCAACAAAATGATGTCATTCGGGGTTTTTTTAGCGTCAATAGTTGCGCCAAAACGACTTCATTTTGGTGAGACAGTCACGTTAGTATTGTCTCAGCGTGCAATTGCCATGTTATCGTCTCGTTAAGTCATTAACGGCAAAGTTATATAGTTGTACTTAAAAGTAAATGTTTATGCTAAAATTAACAAAATTAGAAGTTTAGTTGTATAAACGAGTCAGTGCTTAAAATTTGATGGTATCTAAAATACATTTTCCTTATTTTTATTATGAATCAAACCCTAAGCGGTCAAAAATTTGTAAGTAATTAACTAGTTAATTGAAATAGGATGAATATGACTTTATACTTATATTGTTATAAAACTAAGAATTTGTAGTAACAAAATCATCTCAGTGGATAAATAAAGTGTTTTTTTTAGGTATTGAGTTCAAACAACTACATTCACAAGGTGTGCGCGTATTGTCAATGGTTAAGAAATAGAGAAAATAACCTCAGTGACCAAAAATGCCTTATAATATACGATTTTAACCAACTTTTTTTGGATTTGCCAAAATGACCAACTAAATCGCAATGCGATCGATAATTCGCAACGCGATCTCCGATATCGCAAATCAGTTTCCAGATTCGCAACGCGATTCTGACTATCGCATTGCGATTTCCCAAATTCGCGTTGCGATTTTCCTAATTCGCAATGCGAATCTGACTATCGCAATGCGATTTACATAGCGCCATTCGTATTAACGCGTATTTTTTTTTTCAAATTCCAAACATGAATTTTTTCTTAATATATCGGAAATTGAACCGTCCACAGTAATCGTAACTCATAACCTCAAACCTAAAATCACAAAACTCAGTCCCATCTTCATCTCTCACTCTATACGGTGAAATCCATCCCCATCTCTGAAGATTTCCGTCCCCATCGCCGGCGAAATCTCTCACAACCATTCACGGTCAGAAATCTCTCACAATCATTCAGAAATGGAAAATCAACCTCCGATGGTTAGTTTTTTTTAATTATTTTTATTTTGAAATTTTTGCATTATTTTAGGTTTTTCATATTGAAATTGATGATAAGTTTACTGGTAATTTCAATAATAGATTAACCATTTCACTTAGATTTCTTATTAAATTCATTAGATTGCTGCCAATACTGCTAAACTGTTTAGTATTTAACCCTGTGAAGTTAGTATTTGTCTTTGTTTTGACTTTTGGTTGAAGTAATGCAGAAGAAGAATAGTTTTGAGAATGAAAATCGCAACGCGGAAAGGACTATCGCAACGAGAGAATTGCAACGCGAAATGAAAATCGCAACGAGATAATCGCAACGCGAAACCAAAATCGCATTGCGCTTTTCATTTCGCGTTGCGATTTTCATTTCGCGTTGCGATAGTCATTTCCGCGTTGCGATTTTCATTTTAACCAAAAGACAAAACAGTGTTGTAAATTTTAGTTTCAAGAATAAACTACTATTTATGTTTATTGTTTTTGGTATATCTTCACAGTGTAGTTTTTGGTATATCTAACTTGGTATGTTTATTGTTTTTGTAGAAATTTTTTTCGGCTTCATTGACATTAAGGAATAAAGTTAGCCTAGCCACTACAATTGCTTCGAAGCTTTCACATGCACAAAGAAAATTGTTTGAGGAAACCTGCTTCGGGCCATGGTTGAGAGTACAACATCCGGGTGGAGATGCTAATTTGACCCATTTGTGGCTTCAGACCATGACTAGCGATCTGCTCGACAGTATACAACGTGGTGAGGAAAGAGATATGGTTTCATTTTCCACCGGCGTATACTTGTTTTGGGCAGAAGGAGTTCTGCTTAATCACTGGTCTACGATTCGGACACGATGATGTAGGCCGGTACACTCGTCATATCACCCGTCCATCATGGTTATCCAGGGTTTTTCCTGATGAGTCAATAGAGAAGCCGAACTTACACGTCGACGACCTGAAGAAATTGTTTAATAAGAAAAATGGTTTTACTCGGATGAATGACGTCGATGTTGTCCGAGTATGCCTTCTACTACTTTTGTATGCCGGCTTTTGGCAGAGAGGCCAGACAACCTATTCCTCGGGCTAATATTATTGGTAGAGGACCTAAATGCATGGAATCTGTTTCCGTGGGGTTTGTTATATGGAAAGCTACCTGGACTAAGTTGTCGTCTGCCTTTGATGACCGCAAAAGTTTGTGGGGCGATGGGTCGAATACACTTTGTCAGGCTTTGTTTGGGCCTTAAGGTAAGAATTTCTATATAATGTTTTCAAAATTATAATTAATTATTTAACAATTACTAATGTTTGTTATTATATGTTTGTAGATTTGGATATTCGAGGCTTTCCCCATATGCGGACATATGCATTAAAAACCTCAAATGATATCCTAGGGCTATTTCCTGGAAGAGGAAACGTCTGTTGGATTGGGAAGACTTAATACCATATGCGACCAAATAATGTAAGTTAACACAAAACTATCATATATAAACAAGTTATTATAGTAGACGTTTAACTTTGTTTGAGTTTTTATATTTTTAGGAGGCCAACACTCCATTAATGAGACTGACACCCACGGAGGCTAAGCTTGCCACTGATTGGTGGCAAGCTAGTCAGCATTTTCTTGATGGCACGAATGATGAGCAGCCTCCACTTCCTCCACTTCGAGAGCCATCACCTCACCCAGAGCCATCACCTGATCGACCCGACTATACACCTCTACAACGAGAGCCATCACCTATCCCGTCACATCATCGAGCCTCTTCTCTACCATCACCTCATGATAGGCGACCGACAAAGATGCCACGACTTCTATCTCCCCGTTCTCCACCTCCACCTCCACGAGATGAGTCAAGGGAGTTACTTGATGAGGTCAATGCCTTGCGTGAGGAGATCGGTACTCTACGCGATAACGATAGTGCATAGCGTGTGGAGGTGTCTACTTTACGTGGTGAGGTTGTCGCTCTACGTGAGATGGTAGTATCGTTGCAGAATGAGGTTCATACTCTACGCAACAAGGTAAGTTTAAGATTTTCCATATTTAACTTGATGATAAATTTACTCGTAATTTCACTTAGATTGCTTAGTAAATTTATTCAGTTGTTGCCAATACTGCTAAACTGTTTATTAACACTGTGAAGTTAGTAGTTTCTTTTGTTTTGTCTTTTGGTTGAAGTAAATTTATTCGGTTGCTGCCAATTCTGCTAAACTGTGTATTCTTTAACACTGTGAAGTTAGTATTTGTCTTTGTTTTATCTTTTGGTTGAAAGTAAATTTGTTCGTTTGCTGCCAATTCTGCTAAACTGTGTATTCTTTAACACTTTGAAGTTAGTATTTGTCTTTGTTTTGTCTTTTGGTTAAAGTAATGCAATCCATTCAAGTTTCAATTTGCAGAAGAAGAAGAAATAGTTTATTCTTGAAACTAATTTAGTAACACTGTTTTGTCTTTTAGTTGAAATGAAAATCGCAACGAGAGAATGAAAATCGCAACGCGAAACAAAAATCGCAACGACAAAATCGCAACACGAAACCAAAAATCGCGTTGCGATTTTTGGTTTCGCGTTGCGATAGTCATTTTTCACGTTGCGATTTTAAGTTCCAGAAACTATTCTTCTTCTGCAAATTGGAACTTGAATGAATTGCATTACTTCACCATAGACAAAGACAAATACTAAGTTGACATGTTGCAAGTTTGAAACATATTTGCCTTTGTTATCTGATGCATTTGTGAACTATGATAAATGACTTGGGTGAATTCAATGCAAGTTTGAAACATATTGTCTTTGTTTCACTGTTTAAATATCATGTTTGTTTATTTACTGATATTGTATTTAATTATTTAGCGGCCCGATAAGTTGATGCTTTACGTCGAGTTTTCTTGCACGACAGAGTTCACGCATCATACGGCGTGCA